CGAATAGCTTCTAAACGTGCTACCGGTGCATAAGTTTCTTCAAAATCAATGCCTTCTTCTTGATTGTAGCCTTTAGCTACGAGCCTAGCTTTGTTTCTAGTGATTATTCCATTTTCGTCGAGTTTGTTACGGAACACCCATTTCGTACCAATTATGGTGTGATCATCGGGTCTTGGCACCAATTCCCAAACGTCATTTCGTTTAAATTGGTTAAGCTCCTCTTGCATTGCCAAGGTCCAATGTTCATCATCAATTGCTTCCGAAATGGTTGTAGGTTCAATTTGAGAAACAAAAGCCATGTGACCTACGGTGTCCTTAAGAGAGCTACGAGTACTTACCTTTCGGTTGATGTCACCGATTACCTTGTCAAGAGGATGGTTCTTTAAAGTCCTCCATGCCCTTGGCATTGGCGTTTCCTCCTCTTGAGGTTGTTCCTCGTTTTCGGGTGGTTCTCCTTCTACATCTTGGTTTTCCTTTGAGTTTTCTCCTTCGTCATTGTCGTTGAGATGGACGTTCTCCAATGAATCTGCAAGATCATCACAAGAGACCTTTCTCGCCGAGCGAGCATCATTTTCGGCAAAGACAACATGAGGAGATTCCTCAATGGTTAAGGTGCGTTTGTTGAAGACTCTATAAGCCTTACTACGCAATGAATAACCAAGAAAAATTCCTTCATCCGACTTTGCATCAAATTTACCCAAATTATCTTTTCCGTTACTGTGAACAAAGCATTTGCAACCAAAGACTCGAAGATGGGAGAGGTTTGGCTTTCTTCCTTTGTATAATTCATATGGGGTTTTCATGAGTATCGGTCTAATGACGGCTCAGTTTAATACGTAGCTCGCGGTACTCACGGCATCCGCCCAAAAATACTTAGGAATTTCTGCCTCATCAAGCATAGTTCTAGCCATCTCCTCGAGACAACGATTTTTACGTTCCACTACTCCATTTTGTTGTGGTGTACGTGGAGCGGAGAAGTTATGCTCGATGCCTAGTTCGTCACAAAACTCGGTAAAGAGATCTCGTTCGAACTCTCCACCATGATCGCTTCGTATGGCTTCGGTGGTTAAGCCTTTTTCATTTTGAACCTTTTTGAGAAAAGTTTTGAAAAAATGAAATGCCTCACTTTTATGAGTTAGAAATAATGTCCATGTGAATCGAGAGTAGTCATCAACGATCACAAAGGCGAAATAGTTTCCCCCAAAACATTTTGTTCTTGATGGTCCAAAGAGATCCATGTGCAAAAGTTGTAGGGGCCTTGTTGTAGACACAACATTTTTCGATTTAAATGAGGCCCTTACTTGTTTGCCCTTTTGACATGAATCACAAATGGTGTCCTTCTCAAACTTGAGTTTCGGAAGACCAACTACTAAGTCTTGTGAAACCAATTTATTTAAAAGGTTCATGTTGACATGAGCTACTCTACGATGCCATAGCCACATATCGTCCTCCTTACTCATGAGACATTTGGCAAAGTCGGAGGGAGATTCATCTAAGTTAACCATGTAAATATTATCAATTCTATCACCACGAAGAATCGTCTTATTGTCACTAAGACGTTCTACCGTACATGATTTAGAATCGAAGGTCACACGATTTCCCTTGTCACACAATTGACTTATGCTCAAGAGATTGTGTTTAAGACCCTTAACCAACAAAACATTATCAATGGAGGAGGTTTCGTTTTTACCAACCGAACCAATGCCGATTATCTTGCCTTTGCTATTATCGCCAAAGACAACGTTTCCTCCTTT